ACACACACACACACATGCTATGACTTTATAGACTAGATAGAGAATCCATGAAATGGGATTACATTTTAAGACTTACAGAAACTTTAACAACTAATGAGCACATAATCCTAGCTTCCTACAACCAGAAGTATTTCAGATTAGTAGTCTAATAAAAACCCGACATCAAATCTCAATTAAAACCTCAAACTAAGTGAAAAGAAACCTTGGTGCTTCTCTGCAATGCAGGAGTCTACTAAAGATCAGGAGCGGGGCACCCTGAGGAAGGACCTAAGTTTGTTTACTGCACACAAGAAAGATAAATTATCTGTATGGGTATTCAAATAATTTATTTGATAAACAAAAATTTCGTTTTCTGAGAACAATACTGAAACGCCGCCCTAGGTCAGGGCTCTTGCAGAGCACACAATTTTAATATAAAAAGGGGGCATAATAGGAGAAGGCCCTTCTTTATAAGCTTCATCTGCATTTTCTTAAGAAAATAGCCAAAGTTTTCACTTCACAGAAACAGATTTGCATTCCCCAATTACCTCTAACTGGAAGGATACAGGGCAAATAAAAAGGGGGAGGGAAGCTTACTGAAACAGCTGTAAACACAAACTCCGGCAATCAAAGCCGAATTTGGAGGCCTGCAATTTGGTTGCCCTTCACCTCTTTAGATAATCAACTGCCGCCCAGCAGGGTACAAACCTGCACTATTGCAATAATTTACATAAGAAATTAACAACCAAAATTTACATCTAAATGGGAACCCCCAGCGGCCCAGCAGGTGTTAAGTATCTGCTTATCTAAATTGCCTCTAAAACAGCTTTACCTTCCTTTAAACCTTAGGTAAATAGAGGATTTCCCATGCAGGAAAGGTGGCTGCTGAAAGGGCTCCAGGCATTCACTAGATGGTCCTATTCTACTGCCACTCTTACAGAGAACATTTCAGGGCTGTTGTCCCTTTGAGTGAGAAAACTTTCAGAAGTATCTTAGGGTGCACCAAAAGGAAAGAGCTACATAAACCACAACCTACTTTTCATTTAAAATACCATCCTCCTGGGTAAATTAAGAGGGTGAATGAATAAGGAGCATGGATTAGAAGAACCAGAAGTAAACGTAGGAATCTAAATGCAGAACAGATGGGGTCAGATTGTCTTGGAATTGAATCTGCTGCATGGATGGGATAGTTCCTTGTTCTTAGAAAAAACTGCACTTCCTTCATCTTTTAAACAACTTTTATCCTTCCTATAAACTTCTCATGTTCTCATATTGTAAAATTTAAGAAACACCTGCTGTCTTTTTTTTCTCTTTTGGTGGTACCAGGTATTGAACTCACAACCTTGTGCTTCCCAGGCAGGGGCTTACATCACTGAGTTTATTCCTGGTCACACTTGCTGTCTTTAAACCACTAACTTATACGTTGGTGAGTCCTAAATAGCTTTCAGTACTTGGTTATAAATAACACCAGTGCTGACCGCCTAAAAGAAAAACATGCTTACGGTACAGAGAGACAGAAACCTCTACCCATTTTCTTGGTATAAAATTTGATTACTTCAAACTTCTCTATGGCTTTACTCTGGTTCTATTTAAATCTCACATATAATGAGATCTTTAATGAGCCTCCAAAAATATTTTAAACATTCCTTCAACTCTTACTTTGTGACTTGGCAACCACAGGTAAATAAAAAGCACAACAATGGAGGCAAAGCAGGTAAGCAGAAACAATGCTTGTCTCTTCCCAAACCTTAACAGGCTGTATGACATTAATCACGAAAAATCAATATATGCTGCTTCTGGGCAAAAGGAAAGAGCAGGCAAATTTGGAAGGCAGGTGCGGGAGCCAGGCCCGACCCAAACTGCAGCAGAGGCCACTGCTCGGACGGCTTGAGGTGAATCAGGCATCGCAAGCCACCACAGCAAGAAAAATCAGTCGGATCTCTCGCAGCTCTGGGTAGAAGATGCAGACCCCGCAGGCTATTAGAATCTCAGCAAGTTTTGTTTTGTTTTGTTTGGCGGTGGGAGAGGGCAAGTCAAGGGAAAATGAAATTCCCAAACAATGCCAAGTGCTTATCTGCCTATGAGTATTTGAATTTTTGAGTTATAGATCTTCCTTGTTTAATGAACTTCCTGGTTGATGACTGTTTTAAGACAGAGACCTGCTGCTCAGACTTAAAACCTGCCCCTCAGACTTACGACCCATCTTTTGTTTGTTTGTTTTCTGTGCGGTTCTGTACATCTTGTTTATACAGGTTCAGTATCTTTTACTCACAGTACACTTTGTTAATACAGTAGTGTAACTTTTGCTAATTGTAGAGTACTGTAGCTTCATGCTCCGTTACACATTATGGCAGTGCATGTAAGAGTTGTGCAAATCAAAGCAGTCATCAAGCTGGAGTTTCCTGTGACCGTTTTCTGTTCCTAAACATTTTAATATACACATTATACATAGTTCCTCACTTAGCAACCTATTTACTTAATGACTTAGTAAGTACAGAAACTGAGCTCCGTCCTTAAATGAAGAATCCCAGTGGCCTAATGGGTTTTAGGCACATTCACTAAGCATGTTGTGCAAATGAACAGCATTCCTGAAAAAGCAAATGTTTTCAAACTATGCATCATTTCCATAATGACTGGTGCTGGAGTAGAATAAGCTACCTGACCTTTTCGTGGATATGACGTTGCTTTTTTGCCTCAGTATCCAAAAAATACATGGTTTGCCTGTTTTGGTGCACAAGTGGGTGATTTGGAGCAGCTGGGCCAGAGAGCCAGAAAACTATCAGTGCACACTTTCTACGGGGCTCACTTTTTAGGAATGTTTGCTCCCAACAGCTTCTCAGGTGATAATAAAACTGATTCATTTGGAGTTCAGTAAATTCTCAGATGTAAACCAGCTCTTTCGAAGTGACGCTGCCTTTGGAGCTTTCTGATACGTGGAAATGCCCCCCGCGGGCACACAGGTTTTCTCAAGTGTTATATATACACTTTGGAGCCATAGGAAACAGTTGAACAGTTGTCTCTGTAGTTCTGGGCCCAGTGGTGGCTTATGTGTTTAATTTTTGCCTTAGGCTCCTGGCTGGCAGGTGCCTTGACTATGTGCTTTCTCTGTCTTTCTGTCCTGCAAGACATTTGCTGCAGAGGCAGACAGAGCAGGGGCTCCATGAACGTCAGCGTCACTGCCAAGGGTATTCGGCATTTCCAGTGGTTTTTACAGAGTCCGGCAGTTCATGGTTCTGTGCTGTCTTATTTGCAATAGTTTAAGTTTTGTGAGTCCCTTGCAGTGACCTGCAGAAGCTGCTTCACTAGTGAGCTGGAATGGCACATTCAAAACACAGCTTCCGGCAGGATCAGCTGTGTGACCAGTGTGACCCAGACGGATTCATAGATGCTGCCAAGATGCCAGCAAAGGGCATGTGAGGAGATGCAGGAGTAGACGCTTGATTGATCTCCTAGTGAGCATATCTGGGCTGCACCTCTTTTGCAGTGATGACTACGGATAAGCACTTTCTGCATCACTGCTGTATCTTAAGGTGTGCTGGATTTTCTGAATCATTTTCATCCCTGCTTTTCTGACATGTGCAGGATCAATATTACCTGAACCAGCTGATGCGATGATTGGATGTGGCTGCTGTATTTTATTTTAGCGGTTACTGGAGGCCATGTGCTCTTAAGAAGAACAAGTCCTTTGAAGTATACTGACAATATGATGTCTAATACAGACACGCTTTGTTTCATGACCTGCCTGTTTAGCTACTTGGGTTTACCACTGATGTGCACTGTTTGGACTTAAGACCCATTGCTCAGATTTATGACCCACTGGGTTTTTGTATAGTTCTATATATCTTGTTGATAAGAGCCTCAATGTCTTGATGTCTTTTTTATTTGCAGTACACTGTTTATACAGCACAGTAATTTTTTCTGGTCATACTATATGGCACAGAGCTGTCATGTTATGTTCTGTTATACATTACAGTACTGCATGTAACAATCATGCAGATGAAGCCACAGTCATCAAGCTGACGCTTCATTTGACCGGTCTTTGTCTTGAATATTGTAATGTGTGTACTACACATAGTTCCTAATTTGGTGACCAATTCAATTAATGATCCACTCACAGGAACAGGGAGTGTCTGTGTTGGCATATCAAGCTTTAGGAGAAAACTTCTCTCAGTCTGTGGCCCTTTTATGTCCCTATCAAAATTTTCATTCACTGACAACATCGCTGGTCCATCAGTCTGGGTTTAAAAATCACACTCTGGCCAATGTGGATAAAGTGAAACCCACGTACTAATTAGTTTGATGGTCAGCAAATAGCAACAAAATCAAGAGAGTGGAATTTAAGTTGTGATAGAACCAGAACCATGCAATACTGAAAATATTAGGGACCAAGTTTTTCTTATTAAAAATGTGGTTAAACCTTTAGTGGAAGAATTAGTTGACAAGAATTAATAAAATGGAGATTTCTAGCTGTTTGCCTGTTTACATTTTTATCCTTTATAGATAAATAGTTGGTTTCACAAAAGTTTTATAGCTCTTGTGTCTCCACTGATGAGTGTTCAAAATGAATGTCAAGCTGGGGATTTAGCTCAGCTGCATAATCACCTGACTGGCAAGCATGAGGTCATGAGTTTGATCCCCATCCTGGTAGCAAAAAAAAAAAAAGGAATGTCAAAGGTAAATAGGAGACATCTGCCGTCTCTCCTACATTCAGGAGGTAGAGTAGGTGGAGAGGAGGAAGGAGTGCTAACCAGGTTGCTAGGACAGCAGCATTCTTGCCAGCAGCATGGGGAGTGCTGGAGAAACCTGGGCCTGTGTCTGGACCCGCCTTGCAAAGACCCTTTGAAAGCGCGTGCTCAATTGTGAAGCTGCCAGGTCATCTGTAAGACGGGGCTGGGACACTTTTCATGCACCCCTCATTCCTTTTCATAACTGACGTCCACTCGAACACCGCACAGAATGACTGGAAATGGGCCAGACAACAGTAGAGGAGAAAGGGTGAAAAGAACAAAAGCAAAACCCACCATCGGTGGTGCAGGATCCCTCGGGGGCAGGTTTCTGTGAGTAGGGGATGGGTGGGCTGCTGGAATCGGACATTTCCTCGTCATCATCATCATCTTCCATCTCATTAACTGTTAGGTTGTTAGAAAAATCCAAGCTGCCATTCTGCGTGTAGCGATGCACCAGATCCTTATCCAGATCCTCCACCTTGGGTTTGACATCTGAGTAAACACAGAATTCAGTAATGAGATGTTTAGGGGAAGGCTCAAGAAAAACTCGCAGTTCTGAAACATGCATTTGAAGAAAAGGAGATGAGCATTTTCTAACTCTTAGTTTATTTCAGGGCTTTCAAGATTTGGAATTCCTAGTTTTTTTGTTGTTTTTGTTTTGGCAGTACTGGGTATTGAACTCATGGAACTCTACCATGGAAGTGTACCCCTAATCCTTTTTACTTTTTGAGATACTGCCTAAGTTGCCCAAGATGATCTCAAACTTGCAGTCCTCCTGCCTCAGTCTCCCAAGTAACTGGGATTACAGGCATGCACTGCCACACCTGGATCCACTCCTTTTAAAAAGTCTAGAAGTGTGTGTGTGTGTGTGTGTGTGTGTGTGTGTGTGTGTGCGAAACTTACCTGCAGATGAAAATGGATGTTGGTCAGGGTCCAAGTAGAGCTGGGAAAAAATTGGCCGTGGTACCACACTACTGCATCTGAGAGAGGCTTCTATGGAGTTGTGCAGAGCTTCCTCAAATCGAGCAGACTTCAGTTGCCCAGCATATGAGTTCCCCATGGTCTACGCTCACCGACCCCAAAAGAAAGAAGAAGAAAGAAAAGTGATCTCATGAGACCATACATCTGCACGGTACATGGACCGCTAACATGAACAGCATCCATATCTTACTAAGACATGAATGATATGAAATACATTTTTGTTGAGACAACTAGTGCAAGTTATCTGTTGTCGCTTTGGCTTGTGCTTTTGGTCTTTACAGCCCAAATGCATTTCACAAACCCCTTTTAAAGGATCTTGTATTTAAAACTTCAACGATAATAAATGTTTTAGGTTAATGGCCCTCCATAGGTGTATCAAGGTTGACCTGTCAGCCCTCAAGCCCAGGTGATTAAGGATGAGACCACACCTCCTCCATACAATGGCTGGGCCAAGCTGGAGCCTGTGGTTTCAGAGTAAATATCTAATTATCACTGTCTCTACTACTTGGCTTTCTGTCTCTGGAAAAAAAATAAACGAGAGTTTCATAAGCATATATTTACAAACATATTATAAATTCCTGAAGGTAAGATTTGAGGATTTTAACTCAACTTTTTCATGTAAATACTAATATTTATTTGGAAGACACTATTATTTCTTTTGCTTCATCTGAAATATATATATGTTGTTGTTGTTTTGGTTCTTCTGTACTGGAGATTGCACTCACAACCCTGCAAGTACTTGAACCGCTGAGCTAAATCCCCAGCCCTGGAATATATTTTTATTTGGGACTCTTCAGGAAAATACACAGTAAGAGGTCTTTGAAGCTTTGGCCTATTCCATCACTAATATGAGTAGCACTAGCTAGTTACAAAAATTTCCACATAAAACAGTAATGACTAACAATTTATTGGGTATCAATGATTGTCTAGATCAATGATTCCCAAATAGTCTGGAGGCATGGAATCAAAATAACTTTCAGACCACTACTAGGATATTATTTGCCTTTGTTACTTCACTCTTTACTGGCATACAGTGGAATTTTCCAGATTCTGCATGATGTGTGACATTGCAATAAATTGAATGTAGGAGCAGAGAATCTACTCTTAGCATTAACTTTTCTTTGGAAATAGCCATTTTTCATAAAATATGTTATTTATGTTAACATTAAACTTTTAAAAATTAGTGTTCATAAATTTTCTAATATATATAACACAAACTAAAGCTTCATGGGATTGGTGCTCAAAATATGGGTACATATTTTTTGTGGCAGTTGATGGTTGAACCCAGGGCCTTTATACTTGCAAGGCAAGCGCTTATGCTGCTGAGCTAAATCCCCAGCCCAACCTTGACCCTTTTTTAAAGTGCTTTTTTATTGTTGTTTTTTTGAGACAGGGTCTTGCTAAGTTGCCCAGGTTGGGCTTACACTTGTGATCCTCCTGCCTCAGCCTCCAAGCGTACCAGGATTACAGGTATGGACCATCATGCCCAGGTGGTCCGCAATTGTTTTTAAGTGTACAAAGAACTCAAAATCCTGCTGCCCACTGTGTAGGCGCAGCTCGGGTAAATCTTATTCCTACGTAAGTGATTTTGAGAGTATCTGAGCTCTGCTTCTCCTATGAAGTGCAGGCATGGCTATTAAACCTCATCTGGAGCCAACTCAGAGCGACCGCTCCCTGGAGGAGCCCTCAGGAGGGGCTGAGAGGGTCCCTGGGGTGGCTCAGAGTTCATCTGGAGAGCGGCTTCTGATCGGCTGATGCGGAGCAGAGCAGGATGTTGCATGGCACATCTAGATCTGCTTCCAGGCTTCCTGCACCTCCACACAGGTCCTGGAGCCCCTGGGCTGCCTTGCTATAGCAAACAAGGCTCTTAATGTGATTCCTGGGAGCAAGATCAGTTCACAGTGACTTCTGTCAAAGAGGCTGTGTTTGTCAAAGCTTCCTTAGAGAGTCCTGTGATTGGAGGAAAAGCTGGGATCCTGTTTTGGCAACCTTTCTCATAGTAGATAATGAAACACTAAATGCTATAGATTTGACTACTTTCTGTAAAGAGCATATATCTGAAATATACAATATCTGATCAAAAGTTGGATATATGTGTCTATGTATGTATATACTTTTGTGTGTGTATACACACACATACACATATATATATACCTCATTAAAATTGATAAGTGGAAGAAAATCTAGTCTATCAAATGAAAACTTCCTGAAAAATCACATTTTTGATCATGCACTTAAGACTGTCCACTAACCCAACTATAAACATTTCAACTTTATGAAGTTCAAAAGCAATTTATTTTTCAACAGCACCACACACAATCAAAACAGAGTGGGTATTGGAAAAAGAGAAATATGCTGTGTCACTAGTTTATGCTCTAAGTCAAAACCCAACAACCATTTCTTGTTTGCTAAGAAGAGAAAACTGCCAGGAACTAATACGGGTCTACCAAGGGATCTCTTATCCGTGAACAATGGAGTAACTTCAAAGGTAGCTCTTCAGCCTTTGCCCAGGCACTGAGGGCCTGGAAATCCTACCTCCTCTTAATCTATCATCAGCCTAGCAAGTTATCTTCCTTTTATCATCAAAAAACCTGAAAATCTGCATTCTCCAAGAGATCGTTTCAGTTTACTAAAAGAAGTACCCAATTATACACGAAGAATCACAAAATCTTAATCCTTTATCCTGATAAGTAGGAGCGACATGGCAGATATATATGGGGCAAAACAATATTGCTCTGAATAAGGCTACTGAATCCACATAAAAAATGGACACTGGATTTTCACTATCCTAGATAGAAGATATACATAACCCTACAGGTGCATTAGCGATACCAGATAAGGACGGGGGAACTCAGTGGAGTAAAATGAACTAGCTCTCTTTATTCCAAGCAACACATAACAGGGCATTTAAAAGCTGATAATGATAAGGAGTACAGAACCCACCCCAGACTTCCCCAGCGCTGACCATTGAGTTCGCCCTTGACAGCCCAAAGCTACCCAGAGGAGGAGGGAGTTCAAAGGGTCCTTTCTAGTTTCATACACATATTCTAAGTGCACATGCATGCCGTGGGAGTTAGGGTCACTGAGATTGCTGGCATTAGCTGTCTAAAACACCGTTTCTTTCCTCTGAATCTCAAAACACCCAGTGCCTCAAATGATACAAGCCTGCTAAGAGTGACTGTGAACAGAGGATACCAGATAGAAGAACACCTTTTAGATTCAACCCTCAAACACAAGAAGAAAGCAGACTTGGAATTCTATGATACGCTGTCATAATATCTGACTAACATCAAGTTTCTGAGGCTGAATTACATTGTTTCCCATATTTCCTTTCTTTACTGTAAAATTGCAAAAGGCCGGAATATACTGAGTGCTTTGTTTTGGCATTAGGGACTTCTGAATGTTAGAAAGTCATGCCTGTGATACTAAAGAAGTGTTTACAAAGGGATGGTAAACAAAACGCATCACTCATTCCGCACCACTAATTAACTGCTCCAGGTGCTGCTGGAACCAGCCGCAAACCACTGTGATACTGCAGTTGGCTTCCTCTTTGCTCTATCCTTTTCCTTTTTACCACCAGAGGAAAGAATGAAAAAAGGGGATGAGAGTGCACAGGAAGCTTCCGCCCCGATGCCCTCAGGAATGGGCCTGGAAAGGGAAGAGAAGGCCAGCTTTGGAAACACCAGCGCTGCCACGGCCTCACAAGGCTCCTCTGCTCTTGGAAATGGAAAGGAGAAGGAAAGAGCTAACAGTGGTGGAGAGTCTGCCAATCTGCAAACCTACATCCTGCCACCTGCTGCCTGCCGCCCGCCACAGCTGGCTGTTTGTTATCACTGAGCACCCTAACAGGTTCCACACCACCTAACTAAGGATCATGGCAAAAGGCATAGGTGTCCACAGGAAGGGCTCCCAGGGAGGGAAGGACAGAAATAAGAAGAGAGGAGGAAGAGGAAGAGGAAAAAGGATACATGCAATTGAAAATATAAAAACTTGAATTACAATTTTTTTTTTTTGGTATGGGGATTGAACTTAGGACCGTATGCTTGCACGGCAGGCACTTATGCTGCTGAGCTAAATCCCTGGTTACTTTTGCAATGTAAAGAGGAAAAGAATGAGCTCCTCATAGAAAAAACAAAAATGAGGCACCTATTTCCTAGAACTCTTCTGGAAATTTAAAAAAAAAAGTAAGGGTAGTGTTTACCTGGCTTTCCTGTACTTCAACATAATTGAATAGTCCTGGTTATTAAAGAACGATTATTATTATTTTAATTGGTACCGGGGATCAAACTCACTACTGCTTGCTTGCCAGGCAGTACTTATGCTGCTGAGCTAAATCCCCGGCTCAAGAAGCATTATTTTTTTTTAATGAAACATTCTACCTAAAAAATGTACAAAGAACGACAGAAGTATAAAATGGGCCCTAACAAAACATTCACACATGCATGCCAAGTCAAACTATTGGGGAACAAGAGAATGGAAAGATCAGGCTGTCACACCCTGAACTCACAGATCAAACTCAGTGCTCCTAAAGGCTACAAGCCAGGCAGGGTGCGGCCTCTCTGAGGAAACGACAGGAGGGATGTGCTCCTGCCAAAAGGTACAAGGTCCAGTCACTCTCCTAGCACAGGTTTCGGTTCCAGGATTAAGGAACAAATTAAGTGAAGCCACAAGGAAACAGATTCAGAGTAAGGGACAGATTTGTAGGGCAACTCAGCTGGTTTCCAACAAGCTAGTGTCATCAAGTTCCAAAAAGGGGGAACTAAGATTCAAATTTAAACTCACAAGACTATGTCTTTCCTGCTAGCACAGGCAGTTTGAAAGAGATAAACAGTCAGTAAAGGTAGCACATTCTTTTTGGGGAAGGGTGTAGTTATTTTTCTTTGTTATTGTAGATTAACATATCTTAAGGCACAATGCTTTGACTGTGTTTGCACAGTACAAAAGCAACAATCTGATACAATTTCCTAGTTTTATTATTTTTGTCTTTACAAATGTTGACACTCTCGGCCGACACTATGGCACTCACACATGCAGCTGGTCAGCATTTAGCGAGATCCTAGTGGCTTGGAGCTAGGGGACCTT